TAGACGTGAACTCCGTTTAAAACAAAACTGTGTTGAGAGAAACGAAAGGAACTGGCACCGAGAGAAGAGGGTAAAATAAGAGTAGGCAAAGTCCCTTTTTGAAGGCTGAGTCAACTAATCTTCGGCTTTTAAAATGGGCCTGTTGTAAGACACTTATTGACAAATTACCTTTAGTCTCCCGCGAAACGATTGAAGCTTCTTTTATAGGCAAAGCTGAGCTCCAAAGCGTAATGTCGGTTAGCTGAAAGTTCATTGTATGCTCGACGTTTAAGCGAGAGGAGTATGTGCATCCAACAACTAGTGTGTAAAGTTTAGCATTGCGGCATGAAGGAGTTTTGTATTCCATCGTTGAACTGAAGTCATACTCCACGCCATCCTGGATGAACCGAATGCCGAAAGTTTCTGACCACGTGATTACAATATGAGTCCACATGGAACGCTTGGCAATAGGTACACGAAGATGATATCGCCAATACGTGGAAGACAAGGCGAATACTTCTATTTCGTAGTCATTGTCTTGCTGATAGAATGAYAACCTGCATCCCGACAGGATCATCGTTTTTGAGCTGACCGGCTCTACATGGGGCAGAAAAAAATAAGTTAGTCAATTCAACAACTATGGTGATTCGGATCAAACCGCTAAAAGGCTGATTTACACGGTACGATTTGTCGCGCGCGACTTATAGTATACGATTTTCCTACTACAAGTCGTAGGATTTTAAGCAAAGGTTCAAAATCCTACTACAAGTCGTACTAGATGGCGTACATGTCGTATACTACAAATCGCACGAGACAATCGTGCCGTGTAAATCAGCCTTRATGAAGYAATTGCGTCAAATCTCGGAGGTTGCGAGACTACATAGGATTATATAACAACACCGCATAACAAAGTACCGCATTGAAGCAAGTGACATGTCTAAAACGTCATTAATCAGTATCAAATACTATTAATTACAAAATCCAACAGAATCTAATTAATGAAAMAAAGAGGGAGAAAGTTTTCCAATAACTCTCCGCTTAATTATATTAGTTAAAACGAATTCAATAAATGAAGAAATGAAGTGACAAACCGAGATAATTTGCGGCCGCACACTTACCGATATACTCAAAAACTTCGATATCATCAGGTGAGAAATAGTAACTACCGGCAAGAATTCGCCGAGCTTCCTCACGACTGTTAGACGATTGACAAGAAATATTTGAAATGTCATATGCTACACCCAAATCACTGAAAGACACTGCTCCAAGGTGAAGGTCATCTTTGCCAAACACTGGACCTAAATATGGTTGCTTGCGGATTGCGCTATRCCCCGCCTTGAGAYCAACTTTAAATGCTCCACATCCAGACGGATTCTTGAGACTAAATAGAAATGACTTGTCACTGGAGCTAGTATCAGAAGCACTTCCTAAAAGACAAACRCAGATAGCTAGTTTGTTTGACAATGAACACAAACCAACACAACAAAGCATAGCAACAGCCAAACACACCAGACTCTCTGAYATAAAAATTCGTCGTATAGTACCTCCCCAATACTTATCGGTATAGCCACCAAAGATGTAGTCCTTGACTTTAACGATAGTCAAAGTTGGCGACTTGTTATCACAGTTGGTGTGGAATGCCTGTGGATTCCAACTATCTCTTGACGCACGGTAGCAAAGCGCCCACTTTGACTTTGAACTCACTATAGGTGAAAGAAAGCTTTCCAGTCGTTTCCTTTCCTCTGGTTGCTTGTCAAGAATTCGCGATATCATTTGATCTGAATGATAAATGTTAAAAGATAAATGACTCGAAAATATTTGGATGAGTCAGGGGAGGTGGCTATACAAGCCAGTGCAATGTGATGCAATTGCCCTATTTTATTATGACGTCACAGTACGTAAAATAGAACTTCAATGTACTGTTTTTGATAGATGTCAAGTTTTCTGATCAGWGTACAATTTAGTTTGATGTACAGTCACTCYGATCCCATCTGGYGACGAACAATAGAATGTTTTGATGTGATGTCATAATGAAATAGGGCAATAGTCTCCTTCACGGTTCCCTGCGCAATCTTGAAAGGTAGCTGTGCCTTCTGSGTGATTGATTTGCGACCAGGCCTGCATATGAATTCGCCAAGGTTGTAAGCCAGTGAGCCCGTGCATTTTTGTTAAGCGGTCATATTTGAAAGCATAAATAAAGAAAGGGAAAACCCGCATCTCGCCTTTCACTCAGACAAACAGTACAAGTCGAGTTAAATTTGTTTATATAACTAAACAAAATGATTATAGAATTAAACCTTTAAGAATTGAATGCTCATATGAAACATTTTCCACCTTAAATACACACGTGTTTTTCAGAAGGGAATTTAGTCGAACTTTTTTCACGATGGAATTTTGTTTTGAGTCGTTTCGACATAAACAGTCGCTATCAAGACATTACACGAAAAACCCCAGTCACCGTTCTAGCTCTCGTTGTAAGGTCAGAGCTAGTAAATGTGTAACTGGYCTGTTACATAACGTCAAATCGTCGAGCACGCTTGCGGCTTATTGCCGAAAATGCGACAAAGAATGAACTACGACCGTTGTTTGTACCAAAAATAACAAACACTTTAACTCTATTGGAATACGTGGAGCTAAGCTGCTCTAGCTCTTCCAGTGAAGTTGTAGACACCTCAAAGCTTAGAGGAAACAAGAGCTAAGACTTAAATGTCGCTTCAACGACCTTCTGAAGTCTTCGTGAAGTCGGTCATTGCTTCGCATGCAATGGAGAACCCGCGTAGAACACAGAACAATTATTTCTATCAGGAAGGGGAGTCTCGTGTTATTAAAGAAAAAGTTATTTGTTTTTTCATTTTTTAGATAAAATTCTCTTTCTATAACGATAAATATTTGATTGACATTTAAAAGCTATTTTATAAAGATTTTTAAGTAACAATGCGCGTAAGAACTAGGGAACTCTCTATTGTTCTGCGGCATAGCAAGTTCCCCATGTACGAATGTCTTGGTTTTCACACTGATTATGTATCCATTTGTGGGTAACACATTTTTGAAATAAAATGTGGATAAACTCTATTTTGAAACAAAGTTTCTTTTGTATTAAAAGCTCTTATCCAATCATAAGCACTCAAAACAATAGCTAAAAGATGCTTCTAATTTGCAATGTTCCCCACATAGAATTGCCTTAATATTGAAGCTAAAGAAAGCTTTCATGAAAGCGAAAAACGACAATAAATATAATATTACAAAAATTCGATAACTTGGGAAATTATAGCAGATTTTCATGTTTTAACCAATGGGGTGGATGGATTATACAATGCGCAATTAGCACCTTCTTGCATTCCTGTGCCGTTTGCTTCCCTAGTTCTTACTCGGGGCATTACTTAATTTCTCTTTGCGTTTTAGCTTCTATTTTTCGGATAGAATAAAATGACATGCAGCCTACTCTCCACTGGGTCGAGTTTTGCTGTGCAAATTCCTCCCGTCGGAGGGTTATKTTTACAACATAAGCTTGTCADCTTTGCGCTGATTGGCTAGTCGCATTTTCTCAAATCACCCAGTTTACATSGAAGCGAGACAACCGTTGAGCGTGCAATGATAGATRACTGTGAATAATTTGTAGGTGTGAAAAAAAGGTTTCTATCATTTCTATTAAAAAAAAGTATATGTATTCATAATTAACGTTCGCATATTAATTTACAACTCTTATTGACCGAGCTTACTTGGTTTAGATACAAAAACCTAGACCTTGGTCAGTAGAGATCTTACTGCGCGCAGTATGTACTTCACGACCACKGTCTAGATTTTTACGGTCTAGATTTTTACGATCTTACTACTCCAAGTAAGCTCGCTTAATAAGACGTAAATAATACTCAAACAATGATAAGGCATTGTATCATGTGAAAGAATGATGTGATGCGACACTGTTATAAGTGTTTCTAGAAAGAAATGAAATCTCCATTGTGTTGAACTTACCACCAAACTTAAGCAAAAAAGACACAGTAAATCCCTGAAGGCACYTTCTTGGTTCATGCCAGCATCGTAAATAATGCGTGTTTTTCATAAGTTCTACACAACTGTCTTTCTTCTCGTGGCTAAACACATTCAAACCCATGGATGAAGAGTTGTCTGAATGCACAGCAAATAACTGGTCTCGATGTGGTAAATCCTGAAACTTACTTTGCTCACTTAAAACCAGGTTCCACTGATGACCAACTGCAAAAATCAACTCATATTATGTTCAGTATTTTGTGAGTACCAACCAAATATACTGCTAAATTAACAAATTTATTATTCGAATCGTCAATAACAACAWTTTTGACGATAAGATGGCGCCAACCGTGGAAACGAAGAGGACATACCACGAGAAATAAATTTGTTTTTTGATGAAGTAATGTTTCGAACTGCGGTATAAATGTTCAGTATATGATTTTCGCAGTGTAAATAATAATCTAGGCGATTATTAATGAATGTACGGACCGCCCGACGGGATTCGAACCCATGATCTCTGCGATGCCGATGCAGTGATCTATCAACTGAGCTATGAATCACTTAACGCCAGTTAGAAAGCTGATTTCCAARAAAACCACTGTATATATATTTCAAGAGTGTCATTTTTTTCTGAAATCGGTGCATCCAGCACACACATATATATAAGTCACCAAAATTTATGAATTGAGTCTTACCCTTAAAGTCCTTGCAAAAGGTAACGTTGTACATTTTCACATTGCCAGATATAAAGAGAAACGCCTCGGGCCATGGAATGACTCCATAGTCATCTATACATTTACTATTTAAGGAAGCAACAACTTTATCACTTTGTGATATAGCCCACATCCTGAACTGTGAAAGATGTCCCACAAATCCAYTAAGTGGATCAACACCAGCCCTCGTGCTATCTTGCTTTTGTCCAATGATCAAAGAGCCATCATTGAAATTCACATACTTTTGAAATAACCAACCAGTTTCAATCAACATTCCGTTTAGGTAGAAATTTCCGATACCACTGTAGTCTTTTGTCAAGCACATATGCGTCCAGTGTGACGATGACAGGGGGGGAAATGTGAATGTCACACTCCTGTAGATGGAATTAGACAAAAAAACGTTAGAATTTGATCCGTTTTATAGTTCTTTTATAAAGTTTTTCTGCGTTTTTTGTGAGCGAAAAACAGATTTTGCCGGTGTCTCTGTCCTCTGATATATACACGGTCGACAGCCAATTATCAGAACGCGGGTTATATATGGCAAAAATTTTATAATATCTGACAAAGAATAAGAGAAAGACAGAGATTAACACAATTTATAATAATATATATATAATATATACTTTGGTGGCCGGATTAACAAGGTAACACTATTTGAATCATGACATCATACCTTTTATCATTAATAAGGAAAACCAGTACTTTAGTTGAATTGAAACATATTTGGAATCGCTGATCTTCGTTGTAAAAAGAAAAGAGACACTGAAGTCTTTCATTCAATGTGGTTTTTATCCAGGCACAGACAGTAAAAGTTATGAATCCTTTGACTCTGGGATAATACAGTTTGGATGWTGCGTCCTCAAACGACATAGCAAATTCGTTATTTCTCTCTGTGGAGGAAATCCAATGAATGAAAAAATAAACGCATAGAAATAAAAAGATTTTCTAGCAAAATAAGTTACACTCCTGTAATGCTATGCTATCATAGCATTACACATGGCATGTTTCAACCCAGCAGGGATTGCTGCCATCTTAATATGTTTGTCATGCGCACCAAGACTCTTTAGGGGTTTGAGATTCACAAGCACTGCACACCTCCATCAGAAAGAAAGGATAGGCAACACCCCGTTTCAAGACAACCGAAGGTCAATTGTATACCCTATTTAAGACACGAAGGCCAAAACCATACCCTATTTGGCGGAACGTCCCCGTGTAGTAAATATAGGCGGGAGTACCTCCCCCCCCTCTTCCCCGCCCCGGCGGGTTTGATGGTAACTCTAACAATTTACCACTGTCATGTTAACACCAGTTACATAGAGAAGAAAGAAAACAAAAGATGAGTATGGGGTGTTGGCAAATTCACGAATAATTCTAATAATTGATAATCATTAGGTCACATGACTGAGTCTTTATTTTTAAATCCTGATAAAAAATGACTAATTCAATGTTTTCAGGAGATCCGATTTTTAAAAATACACCGAATGTGACTCAAAACTAGCAGGGGTCTCAGCAGATTTAATTGATCTTATAGACCTTTACTAGATTTTGAATCTGGCAGTTTTATAGACTATTATTCACTGGTCCCCCATGTGCGATCATTATGAGTACATACGTAGCTCAACTACTCATGCTCATAAGATTTTGATGTCCATTTTTAACTCGAAGATTGCGAAGCAATCGAAGAGTTACTGAAGGGGTACGATCTGTCACTCACTCAGTCAGTCACTCAGTCATTCACTTTCCTGTAAACTTGAGCCTGCGTTACTTGTGTTCAGAACTATTAATTTACTCTCATTGTTTTCTAGTAATTTACTTAATTTGCTGTTACTCTAAATTAGAAATCGAAGGCACTCGGCCACGCGTTACAGTCGTTATATAATTGCGGTTAGACTTGTCTTTGAAGTGCAGGTGCTCGCCCCTAGTTGTCTAGAATCAAAGTTAAAAATAATAGATATAAACGAAAAAGAAAACTGTATTCATAAATTGTTCACTTAAAATTCTATTTGTAGAGTAATCATACCGGTAATTTGATTCGTCATACTGTTCATTCACAAAGGTCGAAGCAAGCAAAGAAGACTGGTCGATCCTCCAAATTCGTTTCGAAAATGATTGTACCAAGGTGCTGGCCCGTGCTTATTGGGAACCCAAGTTAACATTAAAATGAAACAATGAAGGCTCTGTCGTAGTATTTTCCAGCTCTAGGGAGCTCGCAATCAAAGGGACTCTTTCTTGCACTCCTTATACATCGACGTTCAAACAGTATCTGAACTAAATTTAAAACTTGTGGTTTGCATAATAAGAACATATATGCTAAACATCTGTTGTGTATAGATACTTATACAAAATTTCTTTGCGTACTTACAAATTGACAGTTTCTTTGTTATCTAGGTTGATTACTAAAATGGACTTTTAAGTTTAAAAACCACACTTATGTGATTTAACAAAAATGTTAAAAAAAAACAATTTTCTCTCTCCAACAGACTCAGATATTTTAAGAAATTGTCCCTTTTGCCTTGTTAAACCGGCTACTATTTGGCAGTTTGTTGAAGTTATCTTTGCTTTAATTGAGCTCGATCGTTGATTGGTGTTGAGCCGAAGTTGTGTTTACTTAGGGATGGTTTTTATTGCTTTTTGACACTTGCAGTGATTTTATCTGGGTTTCGGTATGGAGTCCATATGTAACGCTACTAGACGTGGTATTTTACATAGTTGTGGTAGACAATACTCAGAATTCTATTTGTTAAGTAATTATAATTTGATTCATATTTCGTATTCGTCTACACAATAAATCTTCGAGTTGTGTTGCCATTGGCGGCTTGATTATAGATTTTTCCAATTATTTCTAAAATAATTTTATACGTGAAGGTCACTGGAAATGCATGAATTTGCTAAGATGCTTAGAAAACTCGAGAGGGTGTTTTATCGGCTATAAAACACGCTCTCTTGTTTTCTAAACATTACTTAGTCGGCAGTAGATCCTATACATACCTCGCAAAGTTCTTGTCTTTATTTCAGTTTGTGAACTTTTSAACCAWYTATTTKYAARATACATGTTGTWTYCCGA